CCCCGCCCCCAGGTCCCCCCTAGACACCCCCCCAATTGGGCACGGCCCCTCGAGCCCCATCCCTGCAGGGCAAGGCCGGATTTTGTGTACCCCCCCTCCCCACTGATTCCTTGGGCCCTATTTACAGATTCACAGTTGGGGGGCAGGGAAGGGGGTTGGAGGGGGTTCCCCTCCTTCCCCGGCCCCCTGGGGTCAGGGCAAAGGGGTCCCGTTGGTGGCCAGGAGCTTCTTGTCCTTGGGGGGTCCTCGGCGGGGTGAGCCGCTGAGTTCTGGGTCTGGGCGGCTGGGTGGGGGGTGCAGGCTCCGGGGTGGGGTACCTGGTGGCCGAGTCTGGGCCCCATTCTTCTCATCTGTGAGAGAGAAAAAGGTTTCAAAGGGGGCTCTGGGGTTGCAGAAAACTTGAGGTCCTACTATTGGAGTGCTGAGGTGCCCATTTTAGTGGTATTCCTGAAAGCTAGCTATATAACCCCGGGAACAAGCTGTAATAACAATCTGGGTGAGGCCTGCCTCCCCTCAAAGGGCTTGAACTGCCAGGAGCCTGTTGCTATGGTGACACACCCTAGCAACAAGACCTGGCATCCTTAGAGCAGATCCCAAGCCCCACTCCAACCCATGCAGCCTTGTAAATAAGACCACGTTAGTCACGTGGGACGGGGGCCATGCCTGAGTTCAGGAGAAGGACGCAGGCACAGTGCTACTAGCCAAGGGTCAGCTCAACACGGCTACAGATAACCACCAGCCCCCCACCCCATCCCAGGCCACAGGCAGAGGCACCACCTTCCCGTCCAGCCTCCTGGGTGCTAGGACATTACTCCACGTTGGTTATTTGGGGCTCCCAGGTCCTCCCAATCTGAGGAATATCGGCCAGGTTTTCCAATGATTTGGTTTTTTTCTGTTGTGGAGATACAACTTCCTCAAACTGTAGTCAGATCATCCTGGGCCTGAGGTGGTAAAACTGATCGCCAGTGGCCACAGAGAGATCGATGTTCCCGGGTCCCAAAACATTCACCGAGACCCCGACCTCATCAAGAGACACTGATCACCAGAGGCCTGTTGGTTGATTCTTCCACGGCAGAGTCTGGGGGCCTCCCTGCTGCCACTTCTCGGTGGGGAAGGAAGGTGGATAAGAAGGCCCAGCGTGTCCACTGGTTCTAGATGGTAGCAGCTGTGTCCTCCGGGATTCCTGGTTGCCAGGGCCAGCTTTCCTTGGCCACCGGCTCGAGAAAAGGTCCAATGGTCCCACACACTTCCTGATTGTCCTGGGGAACCAGGCCCAGTGAAGTCTAAGAGAGCTGCGTCTCCCTCACAGCGGGTTCTCTCAACCTTCATCTTGACCTTGGCATAATGCACCTAAGGGGCCAGGATTATGCTACTGTGGAAGGAGCCCTGGTGGTGCCGTGGGGAATTGTCAGCTCTTAACTGAAAAGTCAGTACCCTTAAGAGAAAGATGGGTCAGTCCCCTTGTGTAGAGATGTGTGAAGGTTAAACCCCCAAACTCAATCCAGGGCCAACAGTCGGCTCCCAGTCATGGTCTCTCTCTCTCTCTCTCTCTCTCTCTCTCTCTCTCACACACACTCTCTCTCTTTCTCTCACACACACACACACAGTATTCCTGCAGCTGTAAACCCTGCCGTGAAGATCACAGACTTTAACAAATAGATGAGTTAAGTGAAGGGAACAGCTACATAGAATAAGGACTGGATTGTTGTTGTTGTTGTTGTTATGTGCCGTGGAGTCGTTTGCGACTCATAGCGACCCTATGTACAACAGCCCTAAACCCTGCTCTATCCTGTGCCAATCGCATTGCCTCTGACACACCCATCCCGATTACCCCAGTCACCGAATCAATCCACCTCATAGAGGGTCTTCCCCTTCTGCACTGCCTTCTACCCTACCAAGCATGATGTTCCTCTCCAAGGATAGACCTGTCTCTCCTTACAACATGTCCAAAGTATGTCAGACAAAGCCCCAAAATCCTTGCCTCCAAGGAGTAGCCTGGTTTAACCCTCTCTAGGATGAATCTGTTTGTTTTCTTGGCAGTCCATGGAACATTCAATACTCTTCTTACTAAAAAAAAAAAACCCAACAAAAAACAAAACAAAAAGCCACCTAAAACTCAGTGCTGTCAAGTTGAAAGCGACTCATTGTGGGTTTTGAGAGGCTGTAAATAGCATCCCATGGTACCCATCTTCCTCCTGCAGGGCAGCTAGCAGATTCGAACCGCCTGCCTTGGGATTGGCATCCCACCTCCTTACCTACTAGGCCACTGGAGCTCCTCGGGGTTTGAGTCCACATTGTAATTAACTGACTGCATTGATCGACTGTAATTTCTGTTACCGCGGAGAATGGGTGTGGGGACATCCTTTCGTAAGGTCATCATGCATCTGTGATCTTGGAGGACTGACATAGAGGCAATAACCACACCCTTGGCCATGGAGATGCTGAAGATGTGACTGAACAGGGCAGGGTTCCAGCCCGCAGCTCGTGGGATCGCCGTGACAACGGCAGGGATAAATGATGTCCAGCCAGATGTCTACAAATGACTGAATGAAAAACCAGTGACTTTCATTCAAATAAAATAAATTGAAAAGGAAGAAAAAAAGCATTGCCCAACAGTAATAAGAAAAGAGATTTCCTCTTATAAACTCTAGCTGGTGGTTCTCTGACGGCGCCCACAAGATGGATTGACATAGTAACTGTAGCCTTGGGCTTGAACATCTCAGCGATGATCACGGAGATGGTGCCGGATCATTCAGGTTTCTGTCTGCTGGACGTAGGATCAGGATGTGTGGAACCCACAGGGTGGCGAGAGCCAGTGAGGGCTGGCGTCCCCCTTGGGGGCAGCCTGAAGGAAGATGACCTTCTAGCTGTGAGTCCTGGCCCAGCTCTGGGTCGCTGGGCCTGAAACGGAGGGGTGAGGGGGAGAGAGTGAGAGCGAGCTTCACGAGGGCAGCTGGTGCCGACACGCAGGAGGGCTGGGGTCCATCGGGTGCCTCTGGGACTGGGTTCTCGCTGACCCAGCACGACCTGTGTACTGAGCTTCACCGAGCGCCGCCTCTCACATGTCCCACGTTGTAAAGGACCATCACGGCGGAATGGACCCACCGTGGACCGCCAGTGGGTTTTTAGAGGTCGTAGATTGCACAGGAGCAAACTGACCACCTTTCTTCTGAGGATCAGCTGGTGGATTTGAACTGTACGTTGACAGTGACTCCTTACAACTCAGCTACCAGCGTGCCCATGATCTAGGCAGAGGTTTCGCTGGATGTAAGCTTATTATAACTACTATAATCTGTGGGAAGCCAAATATAAAAATATTCATAAGTAACCAAATGCTGTATCACGATATGTTGTTGTTGTTGTTATGTGCCATCAAGTCGCTTGTGACTCATAGCGACCCTTTGTACAACAGCACTCAACCCTGCTCTGTCCTGTGCCAATCGCACTCTCTCTGACACTCCCATCCCGATTACCCCAGTCACTGCATCAATCCACCTCATAGAGGGTCTTCGCCTCCTGCGCTGCCCACCCACCCTACCAAGCATGATGTCCCTCTCCGAGGACCGGTTTCTCCTCACAACATGTCCAAAGTATGTCAGACGAAGCCTCAGAATCCTTGCCTCCAAGGAGCAAGCCTGGCTTCACCCTCTCCAGGACAAACCTATTAGTCCTAACAGTTCATGGTATATTCAATACTCTTCTCCAGCACCACAACTCAAAGGCATCAATTCTCCTTCTATCCTCCCTAGTCACTGTGCAACTCTCTGACATATAACAACTGATTGCAAATACAATGGTCTGTATCAGGCGCACCTTAGTCTCCAGAGGGACATCGCTGCTCTTCAGTACTTTGGAGAGGTCCCTAACAGCAGACTTTCCCATCACAATACATCTTTTAATTTCCTGGCTGCTGGTGCCAAGAGTGTTGACTGTGAAGCCGAGCAAACTGAAGCTGTGAACAATCTCAATCTCTTCACCATCCATCCTGACGCTGCCAATCAGGATATAAACACAAGCTGGAATTTCCCCCGGATACGGGTCCCAAGAGTCAAGCAGCTAGGCAGACCTAAGGCGCCGTCACAAGTCTTGGATTGTATTTACTAACCTCTTCCTTCAGAGATAAACATAAAGTTGGCAATATAGAAACACTCAGCTTCATTTGCAAAAGATTTCTCTTGGTGATTTACTTTCTGGTGATTCTCAATAAAGCCACAGAAAGGCGTGGCTTGAGGGCTTCAGTTTTTCGGAGCTATTCACCCCCTGCCTTCACGCTCTCCATCTTCTCCTCCATTCTTGGTGTCCTATCTCTTTCTTTCTTCTTTTTCCTCGGCCGACATCAATCATCTCAGACGTTGAGAGTTTGTGGTACTGCTGTCTGTCAGCACTGGTTTTTCTCACAGTATAGGCTCACTTTGTGTCCTATATCACACTGCTTGGGATCTTTCAATTTGTTTCTTCTTCACGATGCTCTTGCAAACTCAGTGACGGTGGTTGGTACCGTCAGGTCCACTCCAGTTCATACTGGTCCTGTGTGCAGCTGACAGACACCCAGCCCTGCCCCCCCATTCTCACAGCGCTGACCTCCTCAAGCCCACTGTTCCCGTCAGTCACTGCGTCGGTCCATCTCATTGAGGGTCTTTCCCTGACCCCCCTCAGCCCCTCCTGATAACAGTCCTAAAGTACAGAAGACGAAATCTCACGATCCTGGCTTCTGATGACTGTCCTGGTCAACACCCTTCGTCAGCACCAGCACTCAAGCCGAAGCCTACAACCATTGAGGCAATTCTGACTTACAGTGACCCCGACATACAGAGTAGAACGAGAGACGTACCCCATCCCAGGGGGTGGTCAGAGGGGAGCAGACTGTCACATCTCCCGTGCATTACCACCTCTGACCTGTGGGTTAGCAGCCGGGCACTTAATTGTCGTCGTATTGTTGTTATTAAGTCTCGTCAAGTTGCTTGCAACTCATAGGAATCCTATGTCCAACAGCTCTGAACCCTGCTCTAGCCTGAGCCAACCTCATAGTCTCCGACACACCCACGACCCCAGTCAATTCATCTCATCAAGGGTCTTCCTCTCTTGCGCTGTATCTCAACCCTCCCAAGCATGATGCTCCCCTCTCCAAGGACTGGTCCTTCCTTGTAACTCTTCCCTAAAAAACCCAAAACACCAAAACAACGAACAAACCCTTCCACTGTCTTTGGTTGATTTCAACTTACTCACAACCCTATGAAGACACTGTAGAATGTCCCACAAGACCGTCACTCTTTATGTGTGTACCGTCAATTTGGATCTGACTGGTACAGGAGGCGATTGCACCTTCTTCTCCAGCAGAGCATCTGGTGGATTCGAACCACGCGTCTCTGAGGTTGAAGTGCAACTTCCTGCCAGTAGGCCACCAGAGCTCCCTGTAATACTGTCACTCTTGATGCAATTGTCAGACTGCCCCAAGCCTTTTCTCCACGAGCAGCCGGGAGGTTCGAACCGCTGACCTTCCAGTTAGCAGCCAGAGGCTCGATGCACTGTGCCTCCAGAGCGCCTCAGTGGCCGTCAGGGACTTCCAAGCACAGCACTGGTGTATTTGTAAGGAGAGATGTACACATACAGGCAGAAGGCTATGTGAAGACGGAGGCAGAGGTGAGAGAGTGGCCCATCCTCAAGCCAAAGATGTCTAGCCACGAGGGAGCCAAGGAAGGGAAGCATGGAACCGATTCCCCCTTGCTTGTAGAGGGAGCGTAGCTCTGGAGTCAACCTCAGTGTGGACTGCGGACCTGGCAGAGAAAACGGCTTGTGGGATGTTGTTAGACGTACTAGTGGACGCGTCCAGCACTGGTCACAGAGAACCGCCATCCTTGGCAGTCTGAGCACACCTATGGGGCAGGGAGACGGAGACGTCACCCCCGGACGCTGCCACCCACCTGCTAGGGCCTGCACGGACGGCTGGTCGTGGGTGCTTAACAGCTGTGCCTGGATGGTCTCCACCACACGCTTGAACCGGCGGCTGGGACCTGCAGGATGGAAGGGCAGGAAGACAGACTGACCAGGGGGGTACAGAGAGGACAGCCCCTTCCAACTCCAGAACCCAGTTCTTGGGGCTCCCAATGGGTTTGAAACAGCTCAGTTAGAGCCAACAGAAACAAGGGTGACATAGATGTGGCTTGGTCATCTGAGACTAGGCTAGTAGGAATCAGGCAGTGGTGCCCTACTCAAAGATGGCGGCCTACTGACACACTCAAAGTCAGGCATTTGGCTGCCATCTTTGAGAAGGGCACCACCGCCTGTTTCTTCTTTTAAAAGAACATATTATGACAATTTATAGACTTTGGATCTCCATTCATTCCTTGTTGCACTTTTCTCCCTGCCCACCCCTCCCCACCCAGTTCACTCTTCCCTTTGCAAATTAAAAGAAGAATACTTTCATTATTATACAATCCCTCCTTCCCCCGCCTCCAAGTTCACTCCACTGTGCAGCCTTCGTTCTGGACTCCTGTCGTGACAATAATACCAATCATAGATCCCTTTTAAACAGTTCTCTCCCTCATCTGTTTCAATGCAGTGTACATTATTAAACCCATCTTTCTCAGTCCTCCCTCAACCCCAATGTCAGTCCCATTTTACAACAGTGGCACTATGCAGTATTTGTCCTTTTGTGACTGAGATATTTCACTCAGCATAATGTCCTCCAGGGTCACACATTTTGAATAATATTTCATGAGTTCCTTGTTTTTCAATGCAGCGTAGTATTTCATTGTGTGAATATACCAGAGCTTCTCTACCCATTCGTTTGTTGATGGGCACTTAGGTTGTTTCCAACTCCTTGCTATTGTGAACAAAGCCTCAGTAAACGTGGGTGTTATATCCACATTTGCTCCGCAGCTCCTACGCTGGGCTTAGTTTTGGAGACCATGATGGAGCCATTCACCTGGGTTGGCAGCATTTCGGAGCGGTTACTGACTTTTCCTTCTTTGTGTTACAATCTTTTGTTTATTTTCTGTTGGGATAAAGGTAACTCCAGGACTTGCCAATGGGACTCTGCTGTTATTTGCTGTGCTTATACCAACTAGACCGTTGAACCAGAACCAACTCACTGCCAAGCCTCCAGTGCAGAAAATCACATGGGAGGTGACTACCCATCTCTCTCCCATGGAGCAGCTTGGTGGATTTGAACTGCATGCCTTTGGGTTGGCAGTGCAGATCCTTAACCACTTAGGTCACCAGAGCTCCCTATGGTGACGTTCCAAGCTCAATAAACACGATCTTTTCTTGGAAAGTTGGTCTTTGCAGATGTAATTAACATGAGGTCATAATGGAGTTGAGTAGATTAGGCCCTAATCCCGTAGCACTGGTGTTCTCGCAAAATAGGGACAGACACAGGGACTCAGACACACGCAGAGGGAGGCTGGTCAGGTGAAGTCAGAAGCAGAGCCTGGAGTGATGTTACCACAAGACAAGCGTCACCCACTGGATTGTAGCCCCCCCCAAATGTGCTATAAATCCTAACCTCCTACATACCCTATGTCTGGAACTATAACCCTATTTTTTTTTTAGATTTTTTTTTAATTTGTTTTATTTCATTATTTTTTGTGTGTACCTTCAAATCAGATCTGACTGGTACAGGAGGAGATTGTTCCTCCTTCTCCAGCAGAGCATCTGGTGGATTTGAACCGTGCACCTCTGAGACTATAGTTGCAGCTTCTTGCCACTAGGCCACCAGAGCTCACCATGACTATAACCCTATTGTTGTGCTGTGCTGTTGATTGGCTTTGAGTCAAGCACAACTCACAGTGAACAAAAGGCCTGAAGCCTCTCTCCACCTACCGACACTGAACAGAGTTCATAGAGTTCCCAGAGGCACGTTGTTTTGGTAGTGGATGCCACTCCTGGATTTCTTTGTAATATTAATGAGATGGTATTATTAGTGCAGACTGTGTTTCAAGTCTTTCGTCACATAGAGGTGCATCTTAGAGACAGTGTGGCTTCACTTCCAGACCGGCCAGATAAAGGAGGAGCGTGATAAACGAAGTCCTGAATTTTATTTTTAATTCCCACATTTCCCTCTCTCACCCCTGCCAAGTCAGGCCTCAGTCCTATCTGACCCTCCAATAAGCTTTCAGAGGCTGTGAAGTGCAGAGAAGAGAAAGTGCATTTCCTCGGGGAATTTTAAGTGCTCACCCTTGACTTGGCAGAGCCACTCTTAGGACCCACGAGGCCACCAGAGCTCCCTTTATTCCCAAATGCATATGAAGGTCATGTTTATACTTTACTCCAGGCTACTAAGTGTGCAATTTAACAAACAACCCCAAACACACTGTCAGGGAGAGAGTTCCACTCACGCAGAGCGGACCCGCCTGCAGGGTTTCCGAACTGTCACTCTTTGAGACAGCAGCCCCACACTTAATCTCCTGTGGCACCAGGGCTCCTCAGGAGCACAACAACATCATGAAAACTTTGACATATGGCGAGAAGGACTGGCACGTGACAGTAAGGAACCGAGCACGTGCTGTTGGAAACACAGCTCCGATAGCTAGACTTGTCTGCACGCAGCGTTGCCACTAAGCTTGAATTTGTAAGCCATGCAGCATCTGTGAGACTCAGGAAAGCAAAATTGCAGCCAAACGAGGCAAGGCATGCTCGTAATAGGGTTATAATCCCGTGAGGGAGTGAGCTTTCTTCCCTGTTAATGAGGCAGTCTCATTGTGGAGTGTGAGTTAATTTCTTTTGAGACATAAAAAGAGCAGATTAACGGAGGAAATGCAAATAAAAGGGGAAGCAGAGGCCACACAATCCCCACAGAACAAAAGGTGAAGAGAGACGAGTCTTCCTTCAAAGTGGACAATGAGAGCGCCTTCCTCTAGGACCAGTGCCCTGGATCTAAGACTTCTAGCTTCCTACCTGAGATAATAAATGTCTGTCTCTGAAAGCCACCCCCTTGTGATATATATCTCCGTTACAGCAGCAAGAAGCAACAAAGACAGTCTCCAACCAAGACCAGGGGAGAGACTCACCGGAGATGAGTGTGAAGGTGACGGAGTAGATGCAGCCGCCACCACTGCCGTCCCGGCGTGGGGAGGGCTCCGGACCCTCGGAGAAGCTGATGTCCACCTGGAAGCGGACAGGCTTCTGGAAGACGGAGGGGCCACCACTGGCCTTGTACTCGGCCCTGAAGCTGGTCTGTGACAGCACACTGTGACTCAGGCTGGGGATCTGAGGAAGAGAGGGAGACAGCGGCCAGGTCACTCCCCTGACTTGAGCGCCTGCTCTACACCCAGAACTACATGTCCCATCAGGCACTGGGGGAAGAACAACAGAAAAGGCAATTGGCGGCCACCCCACTGCTTGCTGGGACATGTAGTTTTCTCTACCTTAGTGGTAGTGTAGGAAATAAAGCCATAATGATCTCTGAAAGTGAGAATGGCTATATATTCCTCTCAAAGAGTATGTGTTATCAGGAGGGACCAGTCCTTGGGGAAGGACATCATGCCTGGAAAAGACAGCAAAACAGCAGAAGGCCCTTGCTAGATGGACTGACACGACTGGACAGCACCTAACAACAACTCCACCAAAGAAATGGCTGAACCATGGAATCCCACCTCCACGAGAAGCTTGCGACCCCAGAACCAACCCTAAGCTCTGGGCCCACGTGAAACCAGGGCCTTCTCCTCTCCCCCCACCTCCAAACCCCAGGAGCCGCCTGGGTGACCAGCTTGTGAGTGGCCACCCCGTGTGTGTCAAGGGCAGGGATGTGCCCCGGAGGGTTTTTAACCCCTGCGATCTCTCAGAAAGTAGATGACGGCACGCTTTTCTTTAGGCATCCTGAAGTGGATTCAAACCTCCAAACCCTTTGACGAGTGGCAGTTTGTAAACCGTGTGCACCAGCTGGCACTGCAGATTCATGCCATCCTGTTCCGACTCAGCTGCTCCGCAGGACTGAGAAGAGCTAGCCTGCAGGGCTTCCTCGGCTGCAGTCCCCACAGAGAGAGACCTTGCGGCCCCGTCCTTACTGCAGTGCACTGCTAACCCAACGACCACAGCTGCCCAGAGGTCTGAATCCACCAGTGGTACCAAGAGAACTGCGGTCTCCTCTCAGTATGATTTACAATCTCGGAAACTCGATCAAAAGTCCCTGTAAGTTGAGGCTGACTCGAGGGGCCACGGGTTTGAGTTTATGAATCTTTACAGAAACAGACAATCACATCATTTGGAACCGCAGGTTGGTTCGAACCACTGACCTTTCAGTCAGCAGCTAAGTGTTTAAACGCTGCCTCACCAGAGATCCTGGATTCTCATGATGCAACCTGAACCCATCTCCACTGACGGGATTCAGATTCACTGTGATGCTACAGATGCTGGTGAGCTCTGCACAACTCGCAGTGACCCTGTGAACAACGGATCTGACCCTGTCCTTCCTGTGCCATCCTCATCAGCTCTGACATACTCGAGAAGCCACTAGCCAGGTTCAAACAGTTCATCTTTTTGGTTAATAAGCCAGTCACAAAGGGCTCCGGACCCTCCAGGGACTCCCCAACAAACACCTCGTCTAGCTATATCTAACTCAGAAATGGTAAATCCCATCAGATCCTACAGCAAAGAACCACAGGACAAGTGGTGGGCGGTCTTAGAAGCTTCTGGAAACGTCTTCCTTCAGCCAACCTCAGACCACAGCTTTGGACAATCCTTGGCAATGTTGGGAGAACTGGCTTTAGGGATCCTATTTCACCACGTCCAGGCTTCAGAACAAAGACAAACCATTGCTATACAGTGGACTTTGACCACTAGCAAACCTGCAGGACATAATACAACCACCTGATGGGGTCCCCGAGGCTCACAAGCTTTACAAAAGCAACCAGCTGCATCCTTCTGTCTTGGAACAGCTGGTGGACTCACACCACTGGCCACTGAGTTAACAACCCAAGGCTTAATCCACAGTGTCACCAAGGTCAGGGGATAATAACTCCCCTATCCTGACGCCTACATGATCACACCCAATCTCTCTCCGCAGAACTACAAATCCCATGATGCTCCACGAGGCATTAAGGCTAGTATTATTATATACTGCTCATCCCAGGGGCTGCTGGGAGTTGTAGTTCTAGAAGATTGCCTGGGATTTCGGTCTCTCACCGACAGGAAGGCGTGGACAATGTCCGCTTTGATGCTGCTGAGAGGTTTGTCCTTGAGCACGAGGAATATTTGTTCTTCTTTGTCCAAAGAAATGAAGTTCCCGAACCAGGAGCGTTTTGCTAGCCTGCAGGAGAAGGTGATGGTCGGAGGAAGGTCAAACGGGGCTGAAAGGCAGACCCTTCAACACTCCTTCATCCCCAGTCTCTTCTTCCCTAGGAGACTCACTCTGGAGAGGACTCTGGTGTCAAACTGGACATCTCCTCCGCAGTGGGGACTGTGAGAGGGGAGGGGAGAGTGTAGTCAACACTTGACCGTCATGCCAGCTTCTAGCATGCATGCCTAATCCCAGGGATTGGAGACCCTACATCAACTATCCACTTCCCAGTGGTTAAACCCCAAAAGACTTCCACAAGTGAACTCCTACTGACTTGGCCATGCACTCAGGGGGCGGAGCTCAGCACCAAAAACCAATAGGAAGATGTCGGGAGAAACTGTTAAGTCACAGCCCCTAGGGGGCAGGGCTCTTGAGACCCTGGACCAATGGGAAGATGGCCAAGAGGGTGGGGAGGCGTGGCCTCCATCACTAGCACCTTCCCCAAACTCCCTCAAAATCTAGATCTCTGCTCCCACTCCCCTCCCTGCAGAGACCCTACAGGACAGAGTGCAACTGTCTCTATAGGTCTTCCAAGGCTGGAAGTTACTGAAGCCAATGGACACAACGGTCCTCCTAAATCAGTCAGGTGGTGGATTAGAACCGCCAACCTTTGGGTTAGAAGCTGAGCACTTGGATCATTGCTCTGCCATGGCTCCTTTTAAGATCTAGCAACACAGGGTCGCAGCATCTTGTTTCTGGGGAACACAGATGTCCTAGCCCCAATGATCCCTGTAAACCCCATACCGCCTCACTCGCTCCCACCTCCCTGCACCCCCAGAAGCACCCCATACCCTGCATCTTGCGCCGGTGAAAGCGAGGGGAGCCCAAGAAGCTGTTGCGGATGGAGTTGAGCCGACTCCTCCAGGCGGCTCCCCCGACGCCACCACCCGGGCTGGGGGGAGGTGTTGTTCCCGGGGTCCCAGTGGGACTGGCCCGGGGTGTGTGCAGCGGTGAGTGCAAGGGAGTACCCCCAGAGGAACGCGGGGAGCCTGGGGGACCAGGCAGGGGCGTGGAGCGGGCACTGGGGGGCGGGGGCTGCTCCCCAGCGCCCCCACCCCTGGGACCCCTAGAAGGCAGCGTCTGCGTTTTGGAAGTTGGTGAACCTCCTCCCCGAGCCTCATCTCCAGTGCCAGGTTCAGGAGAGAAGGAAAACACTGGACTCTAGAAAAGGAACAGAGGTGAGTGGACTACAACTCCCAGAAGCCTCTGGGAGCTAAAGGTACGCATATCTCCAAAGATTGCCGCTATGCCCACTGGGACTTGTAGTCCAACTATAGTATGCCCTCTAACTGCCTCTTGGTTTCAAAGACCATAGTTTTTATAGACTCTGATCGGCCACATCTTTCTCCCGCTGTGAGAGTGGAGCGGCAGGTGTGAACAGCTAACCTCTGGTTAGCAGGCAGCCACCTTAACCCTCACACCTCCAGGGCTCCTAGGAACCCTTTGCATACTTTAAAAAGGCAATCCTATAAAGAATTTATGACCCAGGGGAGAACTGTGCAACATAGGGTTTTCAATGGATGAACTTTTTTTTTTTTTTTTCTGGAGAGAGACTGCCAAGTCTTTCTTTCTCAGAACATGGACAAAAAGCCAACAAAAAATCCAGCCTCAAACACACTGTTGTTGAGTTGTTTCTCTCAGTGACCCTCCCTCAGGTTTCTGGAGCCAAAAATCGCCGTGAGAGGCTTCCCATCTTTTTCCCAACCAGAGACTCGTGGCCTTTCGGATGGCAGCACTACTCCCTACGGATCAAACTGTCAACCTTTTGATTATGACCAAAGCAGTAAAAAAAGCAAACTGATCGTTGGCAAGAAGCTGCACTTCAATCCCAGAGGTGCGTGGTTCAAATCCACCAGATGCTCTGCTGGAGAAGGAGAGACAATCTCCTCCTGTACCAGTCAGATCTGATTTGACAGTACATGCGCACACAAAATAATAAAAATTTTTTAAAAAAGAAAAGAAACAAGCTGACTGCAGCCCTAGAGGACACAGAGTTTGCAAGGCTGCCAATCTTTCCAGAAGCAGATTGTTTGTCTTCTTCACGTGGATTAATTCATGCATTCGAACTGCCAACCTTTCAGTTAGCAGGCTAACCCTTAACCAGCTGTGCCACCAGGCCTCTGGTTATATAGGCTGTAATGTGTTAGGATGCTGACCCAAAAGTTAGTGGTTCAAATCCCCAGCTGCCCCACGACTGAAAAGGTTGGAAGTCTCCTCCTATAAAAATTTACAGCCTTGGTGAGCTCTGGTGGCCTAGTGGCAAAAAGGTATACTGCAATCCCAGAGGTGCACGGTTCGAATCCACCAGATGCTCTGCTGGAGAAGGAGGAACAATCTCCTCCTGTACCAGTCAGATCTGATTTGATGGTACACACACACACACACACACACACACACACACACACACATTTACAGCCTCAGAGACTGATGAGGGGTCCCTAGGAGTCAGAGTGGATCCCACAGCAGGGAATGTGGCGTTGGTGTTTGGTATTAATCCCGCTGGTGACCTGGCCTTACCCTGGGACTGCTGAGAGGACTGGACGACAGACCGGTGGACGCTCCACTGACGCTCCGTGATCTGATTAAAAACAAAACCAACCAAAACGAGGCGTGAAGGTTTCCAACAGTTCAGATGCTCCCACCCCCCCCCAGAAGAGGAAATGAGGCCCAGAGAGGGGAGGTGACTGGTACCCAGGCACACTGGAGGTAGAGCTGGGGCTCGAACCCTCATCTCTCACTCCGCCTGTGGGTCCTCTTGGAGGGGGCAGGGGCTGGACTCCCACCTCTGGCTGTGCTGGGCCATCTCCAAGGCCCTCCTCGTGGGTACGGGGGAGCCCCCGCCCCCGGCGTCAGTGATGCTTAGCACCTCCATGGACTTCCGCTCCGGCCGCCGCTTCCCGTGCCGGCTCAGCATGGGGGAGTCCACACGCTTCCGAGGGGGGTCTGAAGGGACCAGAGTTTCAACAACATTAGAGGAGGGGCTGGCGCAGTTGTCCTTTCAGGTTCCAAGTGAAGGAAACTGAGGCCCAGGGTGGAAGGGAGTCTGGATAAGGTCGCAGAGCAGGTGCTGCTGTTGTTGGTGTTGTTGTGTGACTTCGGCATGATTCTGACTTGTGTGATTCAGGAGGGTGGAGTGGAACTGCCCCCCACAGGGTTTCCAAGGCTGTAACATAGAGGGGACCAGGTCCCCAAATCGCGTCTCCCAGGGAGCAGTCCATACATTTGACCTGGTAACCTTTCTTTCCATTAGCAGGGATGCACTTAATCCCTATGCAACATGAATAATAAAGGTCTAACATCCAGAAGCCCAGCATCTGCAGCGCCTTCTTCCCTGGAGAAGCTGGGAGTCTGGCGTCTGGGCCGCTTCCCCTAGCAGAACCCAGGCGTCTGATCCCCACCTCGGCCTCCTCACCTACATCATTCCGGGGAGGCAGGTCCTGGTCCTCACAGCTGGGATACCGTTCTTTCCGATCCAAAAGGAGATAGTAGATCATCTTCTCTTGGTTCTCCCTAAGACGGATGGAGCGGGGCAGAAGCACGATCAGAATTCACCTCCGGAAGCATGTCTTACATCCTGTCAGCTCAGGGTCGCTAGGCTTCCGACCACACTTTCTGTTCCAGGGACTAATTCCTTGGTTTCCTTTGTGTTTCGTTCTCCTTTTTACTCAACAATACTAGCTGCAATTCTAAGCACTTAATACTAAACGCTTTCTGAAGTGTATTAAGTATTCAGTTGCTAACCAGAAGGCCAGTAGTTCAAAGCCACCACCAACTTCTTGGGAGAAAGGTGAAACAATCTCTTTCCCTCAATATTCACTCACTCACTAGTTTCTGACTCATGGCTCTCCTCCTGCTGGGCTTCTGAGGCCATAAATCCCACGGGAGGAGACTGACCATCTTCATCCTGCTGGTAGATTTGAACCACCAGAGGCCCAGCCTTTGGGTTAACAAAACAATTCCCTACAAACTCTGCCACCAGGGCCTCTTGCATGGAGATAGATAACAGCACAGAAGACCCGGTGGGGAGTTCTACTCGCTCCCATCTGAATCAGGTCAATGGCAGTGGGTTTTAGTTTGTTCTCAATGACCCTGTGAAGTCAGCAACACTAAAAACATTTTTTTAAATATGAGAATACCAAACTCTTCACCCAAGATCACACAGCTTGGGCCACAGGTATAGAGGCGGTATTTGAACCCAGGCTAAGCAACAATTGGTTCTAATCTCACAGGGACAAGAGTCTATGCCTTAGAACTTGGGTCACATGATTCCGCCATCAAGAACTGTTACTGTGCTGCTAGGTTCGTTGTGACTCATTGCAATGCTATAGGACAAAGCAGAACTGCCTTATATAGGGTTTCCAAGCTGTAACATTCCCAGAAGCGGACTCTCACATCTTTCTCCCAAGGAGCAGCGGCTGAGTTCCAACCACCAACCTATAAGGTAGCAGCTGAGTGCTTAACGTTGCGCCACCAGGCTGTCATATGATCAGTACACAGGCATCTCTGGGCGAATGCTTCCGTAGCACCTCAACAAAGCTAGTTCAAACCATGGCAATAAAGCGGCTATGCAAATGAAGCCGGCCACACCACTGCGCTGGCTTCCCAGTGCAGGCAACAGTCATGCTGATGCTCTACTGTGCTTTGCAAAGTATGCAACGCCTTCCATCGATGAAAAGGCATAAAATATTATGAGAAAAATCAAAATGCAACCTAGAAACAGGCAGTGAGCATAGGCTGTTCCATGTAGGATTTTCCACTTGTGGGGAAAAAAAGCAATATCCACAAAACGCAGTAAAAATGTGCCTGTATACGCCTATTTAAGGGGACTTTGCAGAAACCTCTGCTTCTTCTATCGCCCCCTGGTGGTGGTGTCCCGCAACAACGCCAAGCGGGACTGTAAGCCACGCCCCAGCCAGCGGCCAAGGCAAGTCTGCGCCTGCGCGCTGGGGTGCTCCCGAGCGCCTCCTGTCGGCTGCCCAGGAAA